GCAAGGATGAAGAGCAACCAGAACTCTCATACTCAGCTGGTAGAAAGGCAACTCGTGCGTCACTTTGGAAAATCAATCAGCAGCTCCTCCTAAAGCAAAATATTTGAATGTCTAATATCTAGCCAGTCTGCTCCTGTGTATCTACTCAAGAGAAATGAGGGCCTATGCCCATCAGACATGAGCTAGAGCATTCATACTCATAATATCTTAGAGTACTCTGAAAATAATCCCAGCTGGGCGCAGTGGTTCACGCCTGTAATCCCAGCACTTTGGGAGGTGGAGTTCGAGACCAGCCTGGCCAACATGGTGAAACCCTGTCTACTAAAAATACAAAAATTAGCCGGGTGTGGTGGCACATGTCAGTATTTCCGGCTACTAGGGAGGGTGAGACAGAAGAATCACCTGAACCTGGGAGGCAAGCGTTGTAGTGAGCCGAGATCACACCACTGTACTCCAGCCTGGGCAACAGGGCAACACTCCATCTCAAAAAAAAAAAAAAAAAAAAGAAAGAAAGAAAGAAAATAATCCCAGCCAGGTGAGGTGAGGTGACTTACGCCTGTAAGCCCAGGACTTTGGGAGGCCGAGGTGGCGGATCACAAAGTCAGGAGTTGGAGACCAGCCTGACCAATGTAGTGATACCCCATCTCTACTAAAAATACAAAATTTAACCAGGAGTGGTGGCACATGCCTGTAATCCCAGCTGCTCAGCGGCTGAAGCAGGAGAATCGGTTGAATCTAGGAGGCAGAGCCTGCAGCAAGCCGAGATTGAGCCCCTGCACTCCAGCCTGGGTGACAGAGCAAGACTCCGTCTCCCCCCCACCCCAAAAAAAAGTTAGGAGAGGAGCTACCCTTGGAGGGGTGCAGCGACTGGGAGGTGGCACAAGGGGAACTTCAGGGGGTAGCCATGGTTTGCTTCTTGAGCTGGGTAGTTACCCAGGTGTGTTCAGTTTGTGACAATTTAGTGAGTTATCACAACTTTATGTATATTGCTATTCAATTCAAAGTTTTAAAAACAAATTTTAAAATATATTTGCATGGGTCAGCAGATAAACTAAATGCTGTGTAGCTTTTACAGTAACTTATTTTTAAGTTGGAATATTAAGTTGGAATTATTATCGCTTGGAAGACAGGTCTGTAATCCCAGCACTTTGGAAAGCCGAGGCAGACAGATTATATGAGCTCAGGAGTGTATGACCAGCCTGGGCAACACAGCGAGACACCGTCTCCACCAAAAATATGAAAAATTAGCCGGGCATGGTGGCACATGCCTATGGTCCCAGCTACATGCCTGTAGCTTTTGATTTACATTCGAGGCACTATTTCAGTTCTGGGCATTACTTCTTGTCTTGCATAGACCTGCGAGGGAGATCTAATGTGCATGGAATTAAAACAAACTGGAATTCTGTTTTCTTCAACAGTTCACACGGCTTTTAGTTAAAAAATAATCACTATTATTATTTTTGTCAGTTGCCAAGCTGCTGGAGTGCAGTAGCATGATCTCAGCTCACTTCAACCTCTGCCTCCGGGGTTCAAGTGATTCTCCTGCCTCAGTTTCCCGAGAGACTGGGATTATAGGCATGTGCCATCACGCCCAGCTAATTGTTGTATTTTTAGTAGAGACAGGGTTTCACCATGTTGGTCAGGATGGTCTTGATCTCTTGACCTCATGATCCACCCACCTTGGCTTCCCAAAGTGCTGGAATTACAGACGTGAGCCACCAGGACCGGCCTATTATTTTGTCTTGAGATGGTATCTCACTCTGTTGCCCAGGCTGGAGTACAGTGGCGCAATTTCAGCACTGCAACCTCTGCCTCCTGGGCTCGTGATCTGCCTCCTTAGCCTACTGAGGAGCTGAGGCTACAGGCATGCACCACCACACCCAGCGAATGTTTGTATTTTTGTAGAGGTAGGGTCTCACTACATTGTCCAGGATGGTCTTGAACTCCTGGGCTCAAGCAATCCACCTGTCTTGGCCTCCCTCAAAGTGCTGGGATTACAGGCATGAGCCACCGCGCCTGGCCTCATTTTCTTAGAGTTTGTTCAAAACATGCCAGTGGCGATGAATTAAGAGAATGACAGAAAATTCCAGTGACATCTTAGATCGACGCATTATGAAAATGTAATTTGGTTTATGCACCTGTAGGTCACAGGAAACTAAATTACCATACAAATACTAGCATGGTTAGTGGGACATGGCAGCTGATCACTAACAGACTCTCTAGGCCTCAGTTTCTCAATCTGGTTAACAATCAGCCTGGCCAACATGGTGAAACCCTGCCTCTACCAAAAAATGCAAAAATTAGTCCCAGCTACTCGGGAGGCTGAGGTGGGAGAATTACTCAAAAGTGGGAGGTAGAGGTTGCAGTGAGCTGAGACTGCACTACTGCACTCCACAAGGTCAAGAGATCAGGACCATCCTGGCCAGAATGGTGAAACCCCATCTCTACTAAAAATACAAAAACATTAGTCAGGCATGGTGGCTCGTGCCCATAATCCCAGCTACTGGGGAGGCTGAGGCAGGAGAATCACTTGAACCCAAGAGGTGGCAGTTGCAGTGAGCCAAGACCACACCAATGCACTCCAGCCTGGCAACAGAGCAAGACTCAGTCTCAAAAAAAAACCAGAAAACAAACTATGAAATAGGGGGACACCAGAAGCCTAGCAAAGGACAGGTGCTTCATACATTAAATGGATAAATGCCCATTCATTCAACAAATACGCATGCCTACTATGTGCCAGTAACTGTTCTAAGTGCTTAGAATAAAAAACAAAAACAAAACAAAGCTTACTGCCTAGTGGAGCTCACATTCTAGTTGGGGTGGGAAGAGAGAAAGAAACATAAGAAATAAATACATGGAGGCCAGTCGTGGTGGCTCACGCCTGTAATTCCAGCACTTTGGGAGGCTGAGGTGGGCGAATCACCAGGTCAGGAGTTTGAGACCAGTCTAGCCAACATGATGAAACCTCATCTCTACTAAAAATATTAAAAAAAAAAAAATTAGTTGGGTATAGTGGCAGGCGCCTATAATCCCAGCTACTTGGGAGGCTGAGGCAGGAGAATCGCTTGAACCTGGGAGGCGGAGGTTGCAGTGAGCTGAGATCATGCCACTGCACTCCAGCCGGGCGACAGACTGAGAGGCCATCTCAAAAAAAGAAGAAGAAGAAGAAAAAAAAAGAAATACATCACACAGCCTCTTCTAAGGTAGCGTTATGGAGGAAGGTAACATAGCCTAAGGTGGGGCTGGGAGATAGAGGGGGGTGTCTGCAATCTGAAAGAGAGTCTGAGGATGCTTCCTTGAGGTGACACTGAAAGGCTTCTGCGACATTTCCCCTTTCACTCTGTTTAGCAAGATTTCTGCAGGTAGGACATCCCTGGATCCCGCCACACCCGTCCTTCCTCCACTTCCTAAGTCTTTAACAGTTCTTCTAGAAAAGCTGTGGCTAGCCGGGCATGGTGGCGCATGCCTGTAGTCCCAGCTACTCCGGAGGGTGAGGCAGGAGAATTGTTTGAACTCAGGAAGTGGAGGTTGCAGTGAGCCGAGATCGCGCCATTGCACTCCAGCCTGGGTAACAAGAGCGAAACTCCGTCTCAAAAAAAAAAAAAAAAAAAAAAAAAAAAAAGAAAAGCTGTGGCTACTCTTAATTGAGGGTTTTTTTTTTTTTTTTTAACTTCTTCCTCAATCATGACAGCATATACTCATCAGAAAACCATACAAAATCACAAGCAAGCTTTTGAGGGCAAATTATGGGCATGCTATAGACAAAAGTGTGTGTGCGGGAGGGATTTTTGGCTGAACTCTAATTAGTAACAGCAACATTTCTTGACATTTTGGGGCTTATAACGTCATTTGTTTATGAAGGAGTAAAATATACACATCCTCCTGGGAGTTAGCATGGATCTCCAGGCATCATTTGCCTAAGTATACATTTTAGACATGTCAGCAAATGTGTAAATAGCATACATTTAAGGAAATCTGATACTGTCTACAGAGAATCAAGCTACTTTATAATCCCTCCTTTTCTCTAAAGAATTTATTCCTTTACTTCAAAATTGGAGAAACCTGAGTATTTTTTTTTTTACATCTAAAATCCATACTAGCAAGTCATAAAAAAAAAACTTGCCGATGGCTTTTGTAAACACTCCTGGTTGGGTTACTTTTCGATTAGTAAAATATCGTAGATGGTTAGTTAACATAAAGGATGTCTCTTCTTAAAAGCACTAGGTTCAGCAACACTGCCAGATTTTTGCCATATTAAGCTGAAATTATTTTCAGCTTGAACATCAAGGGATGGGGGAAGAACCCAATACAGAGGTGGTGAAAGGTTTTTCAAACCCCAAGATGTAAAATCTTACTTTGCTTTTCCTTCGTGGCCAAAGCATGGGCTAACAGACTTCACTATTTCCTAGCTTACATAAACTTGTTGTCTGATGCCGTAAATTCTTATCCTATCACCTGGACATTAAAAAAACCATGATCCCAAAACACTAATAAGGGAATAGTAATTAAAATCAATCAAACATTTAGTGAGCTTTCCAGTATGCTTTCAGACACCTGGCAATGGAAAGCAAAAAGGTACTGGTCTTTGATCTCCATTTACATTGCTTTATGTTTACCAATACGTACAACCAAAATGACAAAATCCACAGTTTCCCTGCCGTTTCCGTTCTTTGGGTAATATGACATGCCCAAGAGGTTGGCATTTCTGACGCTGCAATTCACCTTGGTAAGGTCCCTGCGACGAGTCATTACTAAAAGTCTACATCAGGAAGAAGCGGAGTAAAGGTGTTTACTCTGAACACCTGACTGCTGGTCTCAAGCTGCGACCGCAGCTCATACTGGGAAGATACACAGCGCTCTGTTCTTGGAGGGAGGGCAGAAGGCAGTAGTGTTCTGCACCCCAGCAGATATCAGACCCTGACTCAAATTTGCAATAATCTGCGTTCCTCAATTACACGGTTTTCCCTTCACTGACAATCATCACAGCAGCTACTACTTACTTTCCAGGTCAGAGTCTAGCCGAAAGAACGTTTTATTTACACACGGTCAGCACCCCACACCTCATGCAGCACCGTCTTCCGGGTCATTTAAATAGTGGCAATCTCAATACAAACGTAGGACTTTAACATTTGAATTTCCCAAATTTCTAAAGATCGCCCTCTACGAAAGAAACACACCAATAGGAAAAGGTTTTGGTCACAGTGGCTGAGCATCAAAAAGGCTCTGTCAACTGTATCTACTCTCCCGATCTGTGAGGCATAATTCATATGTGACAGTATACACTTAGTGTGTTAAGATAAACTAAACAGATAATCTCTTGGATTTCAATACATAATGAAAATGATCATGTTCTTCTCTTACTTTCTTTCAACAAAAGTTGACAGACTCCTCTGATTTTAGGAATTCAGACCTTGAAAACCCAGAAACTAAATTTTAGAGTTTAAAATTAGTCTATCAAAATGACCAAACTTCCTGATTCAAGCACCAGGGACAGAAAAAAAGATAAAACACATCAACCAACCAACCATTTATAACCTTAAACATGCTATATGTGAACTTTAAAGTTTCAGGGGTTCGAGGCGCCTAGGCTGAATTAAAACAAAAGTTGTTTTGTGTTCTATTAATAGCAGATGATTAAACACGTATCTTATTTCAACTGGAATTCATTTGTTAAGTACTTAAACTAACTCAACTGGCCACTAATCCTAAGTGTATGTCTGTTTCTGGAAAAAAATCTTTCCTAACACATTCAAGTTAAGAGCCCGGTCATCGACGCATTCCTTAAGATTAGGTCAATTTCATTAAGACCTCGGGAGTTCTTTGACTCCCAAGAACCTCGCCAAATAACCCAAATATAAAAGCCACGTTCAATTAAAAACTGGGAGAGGAAGGGTCTAAAGGGGAGGGTGTTTCCCTGGAGAACGCCCAGAGCCCGGCTCACCTGGCGATCCTAATTACAGGGGAGTTTCTCCCCCACATTCTTGGGCGCTTTCTTTTCTCAGAGGAAACTCGAGCTTGTGTCTTAGGTCCCGGAGGGCTTAAGCCCGGCAGCCAGGCCAGCGCGGGTCGCTGATTCCAAGAAGTTGGGAGGGGGACGTGGGCCCCACCGACGCACCACAGACCCTCCCCAACCTACGAGCAGTGGTTGTAAAACGTGTAGTTGATCAGGGGATGAGGGGCGGTCTCCAGCGCCCTGAGGGTCAGGGAAGGGAGGAGGGACAGGGAAGAGAAGGGACAGGGAAGGCGAAGAAGGGACAGGAGAGGAGGGGGAGACACAAGCGGGAGTCGGAAGCGGCTAGAGGAGGGGAAGGGAGAGGGAGGAGGGGGATGGGCAGGGTAGGACGGAGAGAGAAAGGGGAGAAGGCAAGGGGGAGGAGGAGGAGACACAAGGGGGAGAAGGAAGACCCAGGAGGAGGGGAGGGACAGGGAAGTGGGACAGGGGAGGAAGGAGAGTGAATGGGGGAGCGGAAGGGCAGAAGGGGAGGTACGGGTTGTGGAAGAAAAGGGACTGGGAAGAAGCACAGGGAGGAGGGAAGGGAAGAGCGGGCAAGGTGGGGAGTAGGAAATGGGGAGAAGGGGAGAACAGGGAGGAGGGAGTGGGTCAGGGGAGGAAGAAGAGGGGCTGTGAAGGGCCAGGGGAGGAGTGGGAGAGACGGGGCGAGGTGGAAGGACAGGATTGGGTGGGAGGGAAGGGGAGCTGGGGGGCAAGGGAAGTACCTTCCCGCGTAAAGTCCCCTTCTGACCCCCGAGGTAGAAAGCCCCGGGCTTACCCGGTAGGTGCTCTCCGTGAGCCGGTTCACCTCCTCGGGCCCCCGGGACATGGCTGCGGCAGCCGGGCGGACGAGCGAGGGCTGGAGGGCGCGGCGGGGCCTCGTGGCCGCCGGACTCCGGGCAGCAGGAGCGCTGGGGCGCGACTAAGGGGCCCTGGAGTGTCGGCCACCGCCGCTTTCGGCCAGAGAGTGTCCGCGCGCGTCTCCGCCGCCAAAATGTCAAAACTTGCGGCGACGCCGCCTTGGCGGTTTGCGACGAGCAGAGAGAAGCGGCCGGACGCGGCCCAGTAGAGCGGGGCGGGCCGTGGCCCCACCTGAGGCGGGCGGGGCGGGGCGGCCCCCACCTGAGGCGGCCTGGTGGGCGGGGCCGGGCCGGGATGGGCGGGGCGGCTCCGTTGAGTTGGCCGCGGAGGGAGGAGAGGAGGCGGGACCGAGCAGCTGGAATGGGCGTGGTTGAAGGGGCCCGTGTGGGCGGGGTCACCCCACCTGTGGCGCACAGGGCGGGGAGGCCACGGCGCGCCCCCTCGCGGCCCTCCCAGAGCTCCGGCTACGCAGGACCCGAAACCCTGGAGTGGGAACCCGGTGTGGAGTGGGCTGCTCGCTTTGCTGTTTTGCTAGGGTAGAGGGAGCCTAGGGGTGTTTAGACTGTAGTCCTAGAGCCCTTGTTTGCCTCGCCCGGTGCTGGCCCCGGAGACCGCGAAGCCCACGCCCTCCATGAGCTCTTCCTCTAAGCCCTGCCTTTTGGGGACTAAGGGAAGAGGGGCCACATTCCCCAGTTGTATTGATTTCTCTGAATGATCTCTCCCTGCCCCGCTGCCCAAAAGTTAGAGGGACACCTGTGGGGCATGGGCTCTCCTAGGTGAAGAAAGGCTGCCACTTGCATTTTTGAAAGCTCCTGTTAATCAAAAAATTAACAAATGCTGAGATATAGTTACCGGAACGTGGTACTTTTTTGTTGTTTCTCTTTAGACGGAGTCTGTTGCCCAGGCTGGAGTGCAGTGGCGGGATCTCAGCTCACTGCAACCTCCGACTCCCGGCTTCAAGCGATTCTCCTGCCTCAGCCTCCCGAGTAGCTGGGATTACAGGTGCCCTCCACCACACCGGGCTAATTTTTTTTTTTGTATTTTTAGAAGAGACAGGGTTTCACCATATTGGCCAGGCTGAACTCCTAACCTCAGGTGATCCGCCTGCTTCGGCCTCTCAAAGTGCTGGGATTATAGGCTTGAGCCACGGCGCCAGGCCCAGTGGTACATCTTTAAATGTTTCATTAACAACGACCTTTAACTCAATGCAATGTAACTGTGCTACTCACAAGACTGTTGCAGGGTTTACAAAACCACCTGAGCTGAGGTGTTAGGGAAGCCTCTCTTCTTGCCATCACTCAAACTCTGTGCAGGTGTGTGGGTCCTGGGTTCCCTGTTCTGTCTCCACCCCAGCAGAAGCCCTGACAAAAGGTGAGGCAGCTGCATTCTCTGGGCCTCTTCCAGGAGTATGTACCTTGGGCCGAGTGACAGCCTTCTCCCCAGTAAGAACCACCGCTTAGCACCCGAGACTCGCACCCAGCAAGGGCAGGAGGTCTTATTCTGATTTTTTAAACCTTCTGGGATTGGTGGCTCACGCCTGTAATCCTAGTACTTTGGGCTGAGGCAGGTGGATAACTTGAGGTCAGGAGTTAGAGACTAGCCTGGGCAACATGGTGAAACTTCGTCTCTACTAAAAATACAAAAATTAACTAGGCGAGGTGGCGCATGACCTGTAATCCCAGCTACTTGGGAGGCTGAGGCAGGAGAATTGCTTAAACTGGAAGGCGGAGGTTGCAGTGAGCCAAGATAGCACTATTGCAATCCAGCCTGAGGGACAAGAGTAAAACTGTCTCAACAACAAACAAACAAAACTTTTTTTTTTTTTTTTTTTTTGATACAGAGTCTTGCTTTGTTACCAGGCTGGAGTGCAATGGCGCAATCTCGGCTCACTGCAACCTCCGCCTCCAGGGTTCAAGAGATTCCTCTGCCTCAGCCTCCTAAGTAGCTGGGATTACAGGCATGCGCCACCACACCTGGCTAATTTTTGTATTTTTAGTAGACACTGGGTTTCACCATGTTGACCAGGATGGTCTCAATCTCTTGACCTCGCAATCTGCCCACCTTGGCCTCCCAAAGTGCTAGGATTACAGGCGTGAGCCACTGTACCCGGCCACAAAAAAACTTCTATCTGGGGGCCAGGCAGGGTGGCTCATGCACTTTGGGAGATGGAGGCAGGTGGATTGGTTGAGTCCAGGAGTTTGAGATCAGCCTGGGCAATATAGGGAAATAAAGACATTAGCCAGGTGTGGTGGTGTGCATCTGTAGTCCCAGCTATTCTGGAGGCTGAGGAAGGAGTATGGCTTGAGCCCAGGAGGTGGAGTTTGCAGTGAGCTCTAATCGTGCCACTGCATTCCAGCCTGGGCTGCAGAGTGAGACTTTCTTTCAACAAGCAAACAAAAACGCCAAAACTCTGTGAGTGCAGTTGCATCTGTTATGGGCTAAGATGTGAGACTTCTAAACTAATCTTGTGCTAAAGTTCACTAGGTAACAAACACAATGAAGGCACTGTGTGACCCAGATGGGAACACCGAAAGGAAGAGATGCCACTGGACTTAGAACAGAAACTGTCACTTGGACTTCGGGACGGTTTTATGGGGTTTTGCAAACTATAAAATGTATCATGTGGCCAGGCGTGGTGGCTCATGCCTGTAATCCCAGCACTTTGGGAGGCCGAGGTGGATGAATGACCTGAGGTCAGGAGTTTGAGAGCAGCTTGACCAATATGGTGAAATCCTATCTCTACTAAAAATGCAAAAATTAGCCAGGCAAGGTGGTGGGCACCTGTAGTGGCAGCTACTTGGGAAGCTGAGACAGGACAAGCGCTTGAACCCAGTAGGCAGAGGTTGCAGTGAGCCAAGATTGTGCCACTGCACTCCAGCCTGGGCAAGACTCCGTCTCAAAACAAACAAAAAAACACATATCGTGCTTGGGAACCAAAAGGTTATGTGACCCTGATGTTAGAGGGCAAATAACACATCACTCCCAAGTTTCTGGCAATGGAAGCAGATGCCTCCTTCCTGAACAGATTTACAGTATTTGGCTTATGTGATTTGCTAACTGGGTTTCATGTCCAATACAGGAGACACATTCATGACTTTATAATTACTGCCATTATGTATTCGGCTTTCCAAGTATGTCTGTTGGTTTTTTATTGAAACTTGAATGTAGTCACCTTAATTTTGCAGATCATCTTTTGTCTTAGAACTTCCCTCTGTGCCTTCAGATGAATGAGATCGTTTCACCCTCTGCTGCCAGAGGGTCATTTGAGGAGCTGGAAAGAGCAGAGGCTTGACGTTTAACACCCCGGCAGCTCGGTGGTGTGGTTAAGAGCTGGAAAAGACAGAGATTAACAAACCACCGTAAAACCCACAAGTGGGCAGGCATGGTGGCTCACGCTTGTAATCCCAGCACTTTGGAAGGCTGAGGTGGGTGGATTACCTGAGGTCAGGAGTTCGAGACCAGCCTGGCCAACAAGGTGAAAGCCTGTCTCTACTAAAAATACAAAAATTAGCCGGGTGTCAGGGCATGTGCCTATAATCCCAGCTACCCATGAGTCTAAGGGAGGTGAATTACTGGAACCCGGAGGACAGAGGCTGCAGTGAGCCAAGACTGTGCTATTGTACTCCAGCCTGGGCAAACAAAGCAAGACTCCATCTCAAAAAAAAAAAAAAAAAAAGAAAAAGCTCATGCCTATAATCCCAGCACTTTGGGAGGCCAAAGTGGGCAGATCACCTGAGGTCAGGAGTTCATGACCAGCCTGGCCAAAAAATACAAAAAAATAGCCAGGCAGAGTGGTGGGTGCCTGTAATCCCAGCTACTCAGGTGGCTGAGGCAGGAGAATCGCTTGAGCCCGGGAGGTAGAGGTTGCAGTGAGCTGAGATTGTGCCATTGCAGTCGAATGAGACTCCATCTAAAAAAAAAAAAAAAAACCCACAGGTATCTCAGATGGCCCAATTTGATTGCTGAGGTTGGAATTTGATCAAAGGACCAGGTTCATATTGTACGCAAACCTTCAAGCAGATATGCAGTCACAGTTAATGCTCCTTCATGGAAATAATGTTCTGGTTATGACCAACCTGCTCCTTTAGAACTCTTTGAGAATGGTCAGTTCCTGGTCTGTAGCAACATCAAAGGGTAGTGCCAGCTGGGCGTGGTGGCTCACAGCACTTTGGGAAGACAAGGTAGGTGGATCACATGTCAGGAGTTCAAATTCTAACATCGCGAAACTCCGTCTCTACTAAAAATACAAAAATTAGCTAGGCATGGTAATCCCAGCCTAGCCAACATGGCAAAACCTGTCTATACTAAAATATAAAAAATTAGCTGGGCGTGGTGGCGTGTACCCGTGGTCCCAGCTACTTAGGAGGCTGCGGCAGGAGAATCACTTGAACCTGGGAGGAGGAGGTTACAGTGAGCCAAGATCGCACCACTTCACTCCAGCCTGAGTGACAGAGTGAGACTCTGTTTAAAAAAAAAAAAAATCTTATTGACATGTTACCTGCTATTGTGTCTTACAAATGTTGTTAACATAAACAAGATTTTTTACTCCAGTGCCCTATAAGTTGTGATGGGGGTTACAGCCCAATAAACCCATCATAAGTTGAAAACATCAAGTTGAAAAATGCATGTAATACACCTAACCTAACATTATAGCTTAGCCTGGTGGTAGCCTGCAGTTGGCAAAATCATCTGCTACCACAGTACGCTGCAGAGTATCAGCTGTGTATGTTGTGATGCTGCGGCTGACCTGGGAGCTCGCTCCACCTGCCCAACATTGCTAGAAAGCATCCTACTGTATATTCCTAGCCCAGGGAAAGATCATGATTCAAAATTCAAAAAGGGACACTTGCCACTGAATGCATATCACTTTTGCACCATCATAGAGTCAAAACCGTCAAAGGTGAACCGTCATAAATTGGAGATCTGCTTTAAGAGTGCTTAGCACTAGCTCTGGTACACTGAATAACGGATCCTCAAAGATGCCCCCCAAGTCCAAATCCTCAGAACCTGTGAATGGTCATGGTACAGTTTGGCTGTGACCCCACCCAAATCTCATCTTGAACTGTAACTCCCACAGTCCCCATGTGTCATGGTAGCAACCAGTGGGAAGTGATTGAATTATAGGGGTGAGTCTTTCCTGGGCTGTTCTCATGATAGTGAATGAGTCCCACAAGATTTGATAATCTTAAAAATGAAGTTTTTCTGCACAAGCTCTCTGCCTGTGGCCATCCACGTAAGATGAGATTTGCTCCTCCTTGCCTTCCGCCATGATTGTGAGGCCTCCCTGGCCATGTGGAGCTGCAAGTCCAAGAAACATCTTTCTTCTGTATGTTGCCCAGTCTTGAGTGTGCCTTTATCAGCAGTGTGAAAACGGACTAATACAGTTCACCTTATATAGCAAAAAAAGCCTCTAGTCATTTTATACTTAACATGATCACATGTTCACAAGTGATCACATGATCATTTTATACTTAACATTTTTAGGAACTGCTAAACTGGTTTTTTTTTTCTCATTTTCTATTTCTTGGAAGAGTTTTTGAAGAATTAGATATTTAAATTTAAATATCTGATGGAATTCACTAGTGAAACCATGTGGGCCTGAGCCTTGTTTTTGGGTTGTTTAAAAATTCGTAATGCAAGGTGGGGTGTGGTGGCTCACACCTGTGATCCTAGGACTTTGGGAGACCGAGGCAGGCAGATCACAAGGTTAGGAGTTCAAGACCAGCCTGACCAACATGGTGAAACCTTGTCTCTACTAAAAACACAAAAATTAGTTGGGCGTGGTGGCACATGCCTGTAATCCCAGCTACTCAGGAGCCTGAGGCAGGAGAATTGCTTGAACCCGGGAAGTGGAGGTTGCAGTGAGCTGAGATTGTGCCACTACACTCCAGCCTGGGTAACAGGGTGAGACTCTGTCTTGCAAAAATAAAAATAAAAAAATTAGTAATGCAGCCAGGCACCGTGACTCACACGTGTAATCCCCGCACTTTGGAAGGAGAGGAGGGCAGATCATGAGGTCAGGAGTCCAAGTGTAGCCTGGCCAACATAGTAAAACCCTATCTCTATTAAAAATACAAAAAATTAGCTGAATGTGATGGTGGGTATCAGTAGTCCCGGCTACTCGGGAGGCTGAGGCAGGAGAATTGCTTGAACCCAGGGAGGTGAAGGTGGCAGTGAGCCAAGATCGCACCACTGCACTCCAGCTGGATGACAGTGTGAGACTCTGTCTCAAAAAAAAAAAAAAAAAAATTAGTAATGCAATTGTTTTACTTGGTGTAGGTCTTTCAATTTCTGTTTCAGAATGTTATTTCTTTATAGCTTCTATTCCTGCATCTCTTTAATCACTTACAATATTATTTTATGGCCAGGTGTGGTGGCACATGCCTGTAATCCCAGCTACTTGGGACGCTGGGGTGGGAGAATTGCTTGAACTGGGGAGGTGCAGTGTGCCGAGATCATGCCATTGCACTCCAGCCTGGGCAACAAGAGTGAAACTCCATCTCAAAAATAAAAATTATTTTATAGTCTCTACCAGGATAGTTCTGTGTGGTTTTGTTCGCTTTGTTTTGTTTTATTTGGTTTGGTTTGGTTGTTTTTATTTACTCAGCCCCTGTTGTGTCTGCTGATTCCCTATCATAGTGGATTTTTTTTCCTTATTTGTTTTGGTAATTTTTTTTATTACAGAGTCATTTTTGGGGTGGGCAGGGGGAGAACCTATTTTTTGTTTGTTTGTTTTAACATGAATAATGGAAGCACTGTGGTTTGTACCTTTTTTTTTTTTTTAGATGAAATCTCATTCTGTCTCGCAGGCTGGAGTGCAGTGGTACAATCTTGGCTCACTGTAACCTCCGCCTCCCAAGTTCAAGCGATTCTCCTACTTGAACCTCCCGAGTAGCTGGAATTACAGGAGGCTGCCACTACATCCGGCTCATTTTTGTATTTTTAATAAAGATGGAATTTCACCGTATTGCTCAGGTTGGTCTTGAACTCCTGACCTCAAGTGATCCGCCTGCTTCAGCCTCCCAAAGTGCTGGGATTATAAGCATAAGCCACTGCGGCCGGCCAAGAACCATTTTTCCTGTAAGAATCCTCCTCCAGAAAAGTTTTACATTTGTCTCTACCAAGCACTCCAAGGAGTTCTTCAGGAGATTCAGCTTCTGAACCTGCTCCTTGTCACAGGCTTGGTGGGATAATTTCTCTTAGGATATTGTTTTTTTTCTAAGCAGTTAAGTCAAGATCCCTGGTCCTCCACCGAGGCCAATAAATTTTTTCTTTTTAAAAGTTTTTTGAGCTGGGTGCCGTGGCTCACACCTGTAATCCCAGCACTTTGGGAGGCTGAGGCAGGTGGATCACGAGGTCAAGAGATCGAGACCATCCTGGTCAACATGTGAAACCCTGTCTCACTAAAAATACAAAAATTAGCCGGGCATGGTGGTGCATGCCTGTATTTCCAGCTACTCAGGAGGCTGAGGCAGGAGAATCGCTTGAACCCAGGAGGCGGAAGTTGCGGTGAGCCAAGATTGCGCCACTGCACTGCAGCCTGGGTAACAGGAGCGAAACTCCGTCTCAAAAAAATAAAAATTTTTTGGAGACGGTCTCACAAAAATAAAAATTTTTTGGAGACGGTCTCACTCTGTTGCTCAGGCTGGATGGAGCATGGTGGTGCAATCATAGCTCACTGCAGCCTTAGTCTCCCACGCTCAAGCAATCCTCCCGCTTTAGCCTCTCAGGTAGCTGAGACTACAGGTGCACGCCACCACACCTGCATAATTTTCTTGATGTTTAGTAGAGACAAAGTCTCCCTATGGTACCCAGGCAGGTCTCAAACTCCTGAGCTCAAGCAACCTTCCCATCTCAGCCTCCCACAGTCCTGGGATTATAGGCATGAGTCATTTTGCCCATCTCCAATAAGTATTTTCTTTTTCTTTCTTTCTTTTTTTTGAGACAGAGTCTCACTCTGTCTCCCAGGCTGGAATGCAATGGCTCAATCTCAGCTCACTGCAACCTCTGCCTCCTGGGTTCAAGTGATTCTCCTGCCTCAGCCTCCTGAGTAGCTGGGATTACAGGTGCACACCACCAAGCTCAACTAATTTTTGTATTTTTAGTAGAGACAGGGTGTCACCATGTTGGTCAGGTTGGTCTCGAACTCCTGACCTCAGGTGATCCACCCGTCTCAGGCTTCCTCCCAAAGTGTGACCTGACGACAGTTTTGTTACATTTTAATCCATATTTTTAGTATTTGTTACCGGAGGAACTCTGGATGTCAATGTCATCCAGAAACACGAAAGAGCCTCTGTAGTTCTCACTGGAGACTGTGTGGCGTCATAGATAACGCCCCAGGAGGCCAAGGGTTAGGTTTCAGTTTGTTGCTACCAGCCTGTACTATCAGAAAAGGCATTTTCCACTTCTTGGTCTCCGTGTTTACACCTCTGACATAGAGTAGTTGGTCTTCAAGTTACTTTTAGTTCTAAAATTCTGTGTATTCTTTTTTTGAGACGGAGTCTCACTCTCACCCAGGCTAGAGTACAGTGGCCTGATCTGTGGCTCACTGCAACCTCCGCCTCCCAGGTTCAAGCAATTCTCCTACAGCTAATTTTTTGGATTTTTAGTAGACAGAGTTTCACAGTGCTGGCCAGGTTGGTCTCAAACTCCCAACCTCAGGTGATCCACCCACCTTGGCTCCCAAAGTGCTGAGATTATAGCCGTGAGCCACTGTGCCCAGACTCTCTGTATTTTTTTTTTTTATTTTTATTTTTTGACAATTATATTTTATGGATATTTTGGAACCCTAGTATTAAGACTATAAATATTAGCCCACATCTATAATAAATGGCTCATGTTTCTTTCTAAAGAATTGAGACCACTACATTTCCGAACTTAGGAAGTGGCCAACAGACCAAAGAAAGACGATTCTTTAGGCTCCTGTGTATTCTTTTTTAAACTTCTATCCACAGCTCTGATTCTGAAATCTCTTTCTCCAGGTGCAGGTTGGCTTCTGTGAGAAGAGGCTATTGATTTGCTCAAGGTCAAGATAACGTGAACATTCTTTACTTTTCCAAGGGTAGAAAGAGAGAGATGCTGATCTGTCACGCTGAAAACTCCTTGGTGACTTGGCTTCTCGGGGAAATGGCCCAACCGGATTTGTGGAAGTTGATCTGCCTGGCTTATCTTCATTTTTCTTGTCTTGATTTGTTTTTTCCCATGGGAAAACATTAGCAGAGAAAATTCCGGACTTTCCTTTCCTAAGCAAATTTGTTTTCTGTATTGACAGAACTCCAAATATCGACAACCGCTCCAAATGCCCTCTTAGTAAGACTTAAATCCTTGCAGGTATGCCAAGTATTTTCCCTGATCAACAAATGCACTAAGTGCTGGAACCATTTTCCCTTCACTTGGTGCTTTTTCTGAGAGGGAAGCCTTTGAAGCACTTTTACAGAATTCCATCAAAACAAAAGGTTGGTGCAAAATTAATTGTGGGGGCCAAGCAAGGTGGCTCACGCCTGTAATCCAGCACTTTTGGAGGCCGAGGCAGGCGGATCATGAGGTCACAAGTTTGAGACCAGCTTGACCAACATGGTGAAACCCCATCTCTACTAAAAATACAGAAATTAGCTGGGCATGGTGGCAGGTGCCTGTAGTCAGGAGGCTGAACAGGAGAACTGCTTGAATCCAGGAGGTGGTGAGCCGTGATCATGCCATTGCACTCCAGCCTGGGTGATAGAGTGAGTTTCTGTTTAAAAAAAAAGGAATTGTGGTTTTTGCCATTACATTTAATATATTTCTATACTAGTAACTGCTGTCACCAAAGAGAAGCCAGAAGAAAAACACCTGGATTGCTAAGCAGTTCCCCGAAAGGGACAGCAGGGGATGTCAGGGGTTGGAATGGAATGGAATATTCTTTTCCATGAGGCCTACTTGTCCTTTTTTTTCCTTTTTTTTTTTTTCTTTTTTTGAGACTGAGTCTCATTCTGTCCCCCAGGCTGGAGTGCAGTGGCACAATCTTGACTTACTACAACCTCCGCCTCTTGAGTTCAAGCAATTCTCCTGCCTCAGCCTCCCACGTAGCTGGGACTACAGGTCTACAGGTATATGCCACCATGCCTGGCTAAGTTTCCTTTTTTATATTTTTAGTTATGACACAGGGTTTTGCCATGTTGGCCTGGCTGGTCTCGAACTCATGACCTCAGGTGATCCACCCTCCTCGGCCTCCCAAAGTACTGGGATTACAGGTGTGAGCCACCGCACCTGGCCTCTACTTGTCTTTTAACACTTTCTCTCTTTCAGGAGAGCAAAGTTTGGCAACACAGGGATGCTTCTGATGGTCATTTTTGTCTGCACCCCACCTGATTACACACCTGTGGCTGTGTTCAGGTGCCAGGTACCGCCTCACCACACTGACTTCTTACTGACGTTTCTATCAGATTTGTTTCCACAACAGCTCAAGCCTCTGCCCCTTTTCACCGTTTCCTCATTGTGCCTCATCTCTGGCTTGGAAGTTTCACAAATCTATCAGTGCCGTGAACAATGAGAGAATGCAACCGTATGGCTGGGCATGGGGGCTCACGTTGCCAGGCTGAAGTCCAGCAAGGCAGTCACAGCTTATTGCAGCCTCGAACTCCTCAACTTAAGCAATCTTCCTGCCTCACCTTTCCGAGTAGCTGGGACTCCAGGCACTTGCCACTGCACCTGGCTATTTTTTTCTTTGTAGAGATGGAGTCTTGCTGTGTTGCTCAGGCTGGTCTCAGATTCCTGGGCTTGAGCCATCCTCCTGCCTCACTCTCCCAGAGCCACTGCACCCAGCCCATATCTTGCTTTCTAGGAAGTTGTGAGGAGGACAAGAAAACAGCTTCCTGGGGGAAAAAAAAGAAGAAAGAAGAAAGAAAGAAAAAAGCTTCCTGACCCTCCACCATTTCACCTTTAAGCCTTCTCAGCAGACCTTGTCCCTTTGCCTCTTTTGCTTCCTTTGTCTCTGGCCAGAATGTGTCTTTTTTGCTGCTCCTGACTGCAAGGAGCAGTCTCTGCTAAAAACACAAAAATTAGCCAGGCATAGTCGCGGGTGTCTGTAGTCCCAGCTACTCAGGAGGCTGAGGCAGGAGAATCCCTTGAACCCGGGAGGCAGAGGTTGCAGTGAACCAAGATTGCGTCACTGCACTCCAGCCTGGGCGACAGAGCAGGACTCCATCTCAAAAAAAAAAAAAAAAAAAAAGTAAAAAGGGATAGAATATATGTGCCCCTATGTGCCTGCATACTGCCTCACCAACACTAGAGCAACTATAGATTTTAAAATCTCTGAATACAATGACTAATGCATATAATGCATCCTTTTAGTTGCGAGGGCATCTTAGCAATGAGTATTAAAATAGAAAAGTTCTTTCCACCATGAATTTGTGGTCCTATTTCTGGGCCCACAGTACTTCCCAACATTATGGCCAATTCATGCTAAAACTTTTATAGTGATCAGATACCGATGGGACATCCCAACGGGCTTAGTTGGCGAAGCCTGCCTTTCGTACTTAGCAAAGTTTGCATTGATTCTTAAGCCTTCCTGCACTTTATGGTCAATGTCAATATGTTGGGGACATATTTACAGAAATGCGTAAATTACTATTCAAGGTTTGTTTTAATAATTCATCATTATGTGCATTTGTCTAATGGAAATTTTTGTTTTATGCTGAATTTCAAGGTCCATGAGGCTGATACATCCCCTTTTAGTGAAACGGTTGCATTCTCTCTTTTTGTTTGTTTGCTTTTTGAGACAGAGCCCAGGCTGGAATGCAATGGGGTGATCTCAGCTTACTGCAACCTCTGCCTTCTGGGTTCAAGTGATTCTCCTGCCTCAGCCTCCCAAGTAGCTGGGATTACAGGCGTGCGCCACCACACCTGGCTGATTTTGCATTTTTAGTAGAGATGGGGTTTCACCATGTCAGTCAGGCTGGTCTCAAACTCCTGACCTCAAATGGTCCGCCCGCCTTGGCCTCCCAAAGTGCTGGGATTACAGGCCTGAGCCTCCGCTCCTGGCCATATGGTTGCATTCTCTCATTGTTCACGGCACTGATAGATTTGTGAAACTTCCAAGCCAGAGATGAGGCACAATGAGGAATACGGTGAAAAGTGGCAGAAGGCCTGAGCTGTTGTGGAAACAAATCTGCTAGAAATATCAGTAAGAGGCCAGTGTGGTGAGGTGGTACCTGGCACCTGAACATAGCCATAGGTGTGTAATCAGGTGGGGTGCAAACAAAAACGACCATCAGAGGCTACCCTGTGTGGCCAAACTTTGCTCTCCTGAAAGAGAAAACGTTAAAAGACAAGCAGAGGCCAGGCATGGCGGCTCACACCTGTAACACCAGCACTTTGAGAGGCCGAGGAGGGTGGACTGCTTCAGCCTGGGCAACACAGTGAAACCCTGTCTCACAAAAATTAGCTAGGTGTGGTGGTGCATGCCTGTAGTCCCAGCTACTCGGGAGGCTGAGGTGGGAGGATTCACTGAGCCCAGGAGGTTGAGGCTGCAGTAAGCCAGGATCTCACCACTGCACTCCAGCCTGAGCAACAGAGCAAGACTCTGTCTCAAAATAAATAAATAAATACATACATACATACATAATAATCATCATATATTTTTCTGACATCAAGAGCTGGTCTAATATATATACATATTTTCTGAGATGCAGTCTCACTCCGTCGCCCAGGCTGGAGTGCAGTGGTGCAATCTCAGCTCACTGCAACCTCCGCCTCCCGGGTCCAAATGATTCTCCAGCCTCAGCCTCCCAAGTAGCTGGGATTACAGGCGTGTGCCACTATGCCTGGCTAATTTTTGTATTTTTTAATAGAGATGGGGTTTCACCATGTTGGCCAGGCTGGTCTTGAACTCTAGACCCCAGGCGATCCTCCCACCTTGGCCTCCCATACTGCTGAGAATACAGACGTGAGCCATTGTGTCTGGCCAAGATTCTTTCTCTTCTAGCAGCAGCTTTCTTCTTAGCACAAAAGGAGCTGAGATTTTGGCTGTTTACTCATGGCAGAATGACAGAAAGTCATTTAGATCGTATTAGGTTTTGAAACATTTGGATATTGACACTAACAGGGGAAATACGTGGGTGTCGTGGGTGTGTGCATCTCCCCCAGCCCCCCCCCACCCCGACTCTAACTGCTGTGTGCTTGTTGAATAGACCCCTGAGTCCAGAGTCAATGGATTCTTCCTCCTTCTAGGGTAGGCACAGCAGCTGGGACAAGGAGGTGGCTTGTTTTTGAGACAGAGTTTTGCTCTTCTTGCCCAGGCTGGAGTGTAGTGGTGCAATCTCAGCTCACTGCAACCTGTGACTCCCGAGTTCAGGTGATTCTCCTGCCTCAGCCTCCTGAGTAGCTGGAATTACAGGCATGCGCCACCACACCTGGCTAATTTTGTATTTTTAGTAGAGATGGGGTTTCTCCATGTTGGTCAGGCTGGTCTGGAACTCCCAACCTCAGGTAATCCATCTGCCTTGGCCTCCCAAAGTGCTGGGATTACAGGCATGAGCTACCATGCCTGGCCAAGAGGTGGCATTTTTGCCTGGAAATGTTTCCAGGCACTCATAAACCTGACATTGGCTACAACAGGAAACCACCTTCCCAATTCGGAGCAGCTGGAGGCTGTGTGACTTTGGTGTCTGAGGTCTCCTTGGAATGGGACAGAATGCAAGGATGGTGTCCTGATCCTGGTGGGAAAACAGTAGGTCTGGGGAATTCACTTCCTGTCTCAGTGACAACATCCTCTTGTGACTTGAGGCAGGTCACATCACGGTCATGTCCCCGGTTCCCTGTGTCCTGGTCAATAGGAGTTGCAGTGGGCAGCACTCCAGATAACCTTGAGGGAGTGGTGAGAGGCCACAGTTTTCCTTGGGGACACTTCCCCAGAGATATGACTGCCATCTACCAGGTGTGACTCCAGGTGAGTGGGGGGTAGCAGCCAGGGCTGCCTGAGTGGAGGGTGAGGGAAAGTCACTGCCTGCATTGGCTGTCCCCTCCCTCCTCTTCAAGGCTGCCTTTGATCTCCAGTCAACAGAAATTGCAGCTCATGCTGAAGTCTGCTGGCCTAGTCTTTCACCCACTACTTTCAATCTGGTTGGTCAAGTCACGTGAAATTTCCACACCCCCCAAAGGTTGTGCAACTACCATGCAAATCCATTTCAAGTTTAGTTACTTTTTTTTTTTTTTTTAAACAGAGTAAACTTTCTTTTTTTTTGAGGCACAGTTTCACTCTTGTTTGCATAGGTTGGAGTGCAATGGCATGATCTTGGCTCACCACAACCTCTGCTTCCCGGGTTCAAGCAATTCTCCTGCCTTGGCCTCCTGAGTAGCTGGGATTACAGGTGCCCGCCATCACACCCAGTTAATTTTTGTATTTTTAGTAGAGACCGTTTCGGTAAGGCTGGTCTCAAACTCCTGACCTTGTGATCCATCCACCTCGGTCTCCCAAAGTGTTAGGATTACAGGCATGAGGCACTGCACCCAACCAGAGTGAACTTACTCCCCTCCCCTCCCCTCCCCTCCCCTCCTCTCCCCTCCTCTCTTCTCTTCTTCCTTTCTTTCTTTTTTGAGACAGAGTCTTGCTCTGTTGCCCAGGCTGGAGTGCAGTGGCACGACATCTGCTCCCTGCAACCTTTGCCTCCTGGGTTTAAGACATTCTCTTGCCTCAGCCTCCCAAGTATCTGGGATTACAGGCGCCTGCCACAATGCCCAGATACGTTTTTTGGTATTTTTAGTAGAGATGGGGTTTCACCATGTTGACCAGCTGGTCTCGAACCCCTGACCTCAGGTGATCTGCCCACTTTGGCCTCTCAAACTGCTGGGATTACAGGTGTGAGCCGCTGCACCTGGCCAACAGAGTAAACTTTCTTGAATGAACTTTCTTACTATTTGATTTATTTAATTACTTTATTTTATGACAGATGCGGTCTTACTCTGTTGCCCAGGCTGGAGTACAACGGCACCATCATAACTCCCCGCATCTTTGAACTCCTGGGCCCAAGTGATCCTCCTGAGTAGCTGGAACCACAGGTGCACACCACCACTCCTGACTCATTTATTTCTGCTGGCTTATTTATCTCTCTGCCTCACAATAGTAGAGAAATGCCTGAGCCACAGATAGACCAGGTGACCAAGGAAGCCTGGAAGAAACCCGGGGCCACCCATGCCCCCAGGCTACCATTTGGATACAGCTGCTTTGGAGGAATCCCGGGTCAGGCTGCTGGAATTCCGAGACCTCAGTGTCCTGAGCGAGGCTTTACAAGTTAGCTTTGCCTGCCTTTCCCATGCAACACCTCTTCACTGGTCTTTTGAAATCATTGCTCTTGGACTGATTTTGCTGCCTCTGCCACCAGAAGGTAAGCAAACCCTTCTGTCACTTTCTTTGTTTTGAGACAGAGTCTTGCTGTGACACTAGGCTGGAGTGCAGTGGCATGATCTTGGCTCACTGCAACCTCCGCCTCCTGGGTTCAAATGATTCTGTATTTGTGACTACGGATGCGTGCCACCATGCCTAGCTAATTTTTTTATTTTTAGTAGAGATGGGGTTTCACTATTTGACCAGGATGGTCTTGATCTCCTGACCTCGTGATCTGCCTGCCTTGGCCTCCCAAAGTGCTGGGATTACAGGTGTGAGCCACCGTGCCAAGCCCCTTCTATCATTTTCTTGCTGTGTGTCCTAGTAAGATGCTTCTCCACATTGAGCCTTTTCTCCTGCTCATTTGCAAAATGGGAATGAGATGCTGTGAGTTTTACCCGTGTGGTATAGACGGAGTCTGCTGCAGGGTACCGAGTGTGGGTTTGGGGGTCTGAGATGTACCTTCATCAGCAGCCTTTATATCAGCAGCCACACCTCCTCTGTAGGGTTTCACCCTAGTTTAGCTCTCTGAGGACCGGGTCACTCCTGGAGCCACATCCTTGTCTGCCAGGGTGGGTGGGGACATGACTCACCATGACCAGAGACTCACCCTGGAATCACTTGGATCAGGAAGCCCAGGACAGATATGACGTCATCAGCAAATACAAGCAGTCACAGACACAGGGGCAGCTGTTTGTCTTGGAGATAAACTTCACCACCCGGGCTGGGCTTTGCAGAAAAGGTGAAGGACACCAGGCTCATGGATGTTCATTCCGTATGATGACGTGTCTGTGGAAGGACCAGAGACTCTCAGGGTGGGAAAATGGCTGGGGATTGTTCTGTAGCCAGGGAAGGTGTGTCCTTGACTACTGCAGGGAAAGGCTGCCCCTACTTTGAGGTTGTGCTTTTATCTCCTCCAGGTCTCTATCTTTTATAATCCAACCAGAGGATTCCCCTAATACTCTACTTCCTGTTACTGTATGTCTCAGCTAAAAGACAGACCCTACTGGCCAGGTGTGGTGGCTCACGCCTGTAATTCCAACACTTGGGGAGGCTGAAGTGAGGGGATCACTTGAGGTCAGGCATTCGAGACCAGCCCGGCCAACATGGTGAAACTCAGTCTCTATTAAAAATATAAAAATTAGCTGGGTGTGGTGGTGCATGCCTGTAATCCCAGCTACTCAGGAGGCTGAGGCAGGAGAATTGTACCATTACCCTTCAGCCTGGGTAACAGAGCGAGACTCTGTCTCAAAAAAAAAAAAAAAAAAAAGATATATCCTACCCCAGGAGGGTAGGGGATGGTGTTTAACCCAAGCTCTGTGCCTGCCTCCCTCACTGCACAAAAACCTTAAACTAGTCTCCCCTGTGTAAACCCAGGGTCCCCACTGGGCCCTGAATTTTGTCATTTTCTTCAGGGTCATGTAACCCTTGGTTATACAACAAGAGAGGCGTCAGGATTTCCTTTTGGGGTCATGAAAAAGTTTTGAACTGGTGAGAAATGAGGACTACACAACATTGTGAATGTGTTGAATTTCCCTGAATTTTATTTTACTGATTTACGTATCTATCTATCTATTTATTTTTTGAGACAGAGTCTCACTCTGTTGCCCAGGTTGGAGTGCAGAGGTGCCATCATAGCTCACTGCAACCTCAACCTCCTGGGCTCAAGTGATCCTCCTGCCTCAGCCTCCTAAGTAGCTGGGACTACAGGTGCGCACCACTGCACCCAGATCATTAAACATTTTTTTTGTAGACATGAGGTCTTGTTATGTTGCCCAGGCTGGTCTTAAACTCCTAGGTTCAAACAATCCTCTCACCTCAGCCTCTCTAGTACCTAGGACCACAGGCACACACTACCGTGCCTAGATAATTTTTTGATTATCTGTAGACATGGGGTCTCACTGTGTTGCCCAGGTTGGTCTCAAATGCCTTGACTAGAGCAATCCTCCTGCCTTGGCCTCCCAATGTGCTGGGATTATAGGCGTGAGCCACCTTGCCTGGCTAAACTATACATTTTATCCTCTCTCTCCATATGTATGTGTGTGTGTGTGTGTGTGTATTTATCTTTTATTTTTTTGAGACACAGTCTCCCTGTTATCCAGATTGGAGTGCACTTGTACAGTGGTACCATCTCAGCTCACTGCAGCCTCTGCCTCCTGGGTTCAAATGATTCTCGTGCCTCAGCCTCCTGAGTATCTGAGATTACAGGCGTGTACCACCACTCCAGGCTAATTTTTTTTTTTTTTTCAGTAGAGATGGGGTTTCACCATGTTGCCTAGGTTGGTCTCAAACTCCTGGGCTCCAGTGATCCTCCTGCCTCGGCCACCCAGAGTGCTAGGATGACATATGTGAGCCACTGTGGCCGGCCAAGTTGTACATTTTAAAACTGTTTGATTTTGTGTTATATGATTTTGTGTTATACGAATTTCAGCTCAATTTCAAATGAAACAAAAAAACAAGGCAGGGCTACATAGTACCAGCAAGGGTTCTTCTCTCCTTTTCTGGGGGGTAGCATGGGAGGACCGCTGTATGCAGTGACTGAGTCTGAGGTCCAGAGCCTTAGAGACGGGGTGGTCCTGGGTCACTGTGTGGGCACAGGCCTAATCCTAGCCTGCAGAGGACAGCAACAGAACCACTCAGATGCTGGCAGCCTGTGATCTGAGCCCAAGAACCACCAAGGGGACTGTCCCAGGGTCGCTGCTGTTGGTTCGCCGGTGTGGAGTAGGGCTGGAGGCACTCCCACGTCAAGGAGGTAGAGGCCATGGATGCTGCTGAGCTCCAGGCTGTGGGCCAGCTCAGCCACCCTGTCTGGTACAGTAGCCGCCCCTTCATCCCTCCAGGGCCAGGCTGTGAGGCACAGGATTCATGACATGGGTGTGGCCTCTACCGGAGCCTGATGCAGAGGGAAAAATCCATTTTTATTAAAACAATTTGATACAAGGCATATGGATCTATTTTTATTTTAAAATGTGTTATTTTGGTCAGTCATGGTGGCTCATGCGTGTAATCCCAGCACTTTGGGAGGCCAAGGTGGGTGGATCACCTGAGGTCAGGAGTTCAAGACCAGCCTGACCAACATGGAGAAATCCCATCTCAACTAAAAATACAAAATTAGCCGGGCATGGTGGTGGGTGCCTGTAGTCTCAGCTACTCGGGAGGCCGAGGCAGGAGAACTGCTTGAGCCTGGGAGATGGAGGTTGCAGTGAGATCATGCTATTGCACTCCAGCCTGGGCAATAAGAGCAAAACTCTGTCTCAAAAACAAAACAAAATAAAATAAAATGTGATATTTTATCATGAATTTTTTTTACATTAATATTTTCTGAGATGGGGTCTCACTATGTTGCCCAGGCTGGAGTGCAGTGGTGCGATCACAGCTCACTGCAGCTCCAAACTCCTGGGCTCAAGCAATCCTCCTGTCTCAGCTTCCTGAGTAGCCAGGTCTGTAGGCACACACCACCACACCCAGCATTTTTTTTTTTAAGAGGTGGGTCTCACTATGTTGTCCAGGCTGGTCTTGAACTCCTGGCTTCAAGTGATCCTCCCACCTCTGCCTCCCAAAGTGCTGAGGTTACAGGCATGAGCCACCACTGGCCTTTGCATTAATGTTGATTTTTTTAAATGTGGTAGCTCATGCCTGTAGCCTCAGTGCTTTAAAAGGCTGAGACAGGAGGACTGCTTGAGCCCAGGAGTTTTAGACCAGCCTGGGCAACATGAGACTCCCTACTCTACAAAAAAATGTAAAAAATTAGCTGGGCTTCTGGCATGTGCCTGTGGTCCCAACTACTTGGGAGCCTGAGGTGGGAGGGTCGCTTGAGCCCAGGAGGTGGAGGCTGTAGTGAGCTATGATCATGCCACTGCGAGTTAGCCTGGGTGACAGAGCCTGACCTCATCTCTAATGAAGACAAAAAGCTGCACTCAGATCCTTTTTTTCTTTTTTTTTGAGACTAAGTCTCACTCTGGAGGGCAGTGGTGCGATCTCGGCTCACTGTAACCTCCACCTCCTGGGTTCAAGCAGTTCTCCTGCCTCAGCCACTTGAGTAGCTAGGATTAAAAGTGTGTGCCACCACGCCCAGCTAATTTTTATAGTGAAAATTATAAAACCTCATCTCTACTAATAGAGATGAGGTTTCACCATGTTGGCCAGGCTGGTCTCAAACTCCTGGCCTCAAGCAGTCCACCAGCCTTGGCCTCCCAAAGTGCTAAGATTACAGGTGTGAGCCACTATGCCTGGCCAAGATCTCTTGATTACTGAGTGGTTTGGTATTCCTTTAAATTGTGTGCTGAGGGGCTGGGTGCTGTGGCTCATGCTTGTAATCCCAGCAATTTGGGAGGCCAAGGCCGGTGGATCATTTGAGGTCAGGAGTTCAAGACCAGCTGGCCAACATGGTGAAACCCTGTTTCTACTGAAAATACAAAAATTAGCTGGGCGCGGTGACAGGCGCCTGTAGTCCGAGCTACTTGGGAGGCTAAGGCAGGAGACGTGGTTGAACCTGGGAGGCGGAGGTTGATGTGAGCCAAGATTGTGCCACTACTGAACTCCAGCCTGGGGCCTGGGAGACAGAACGAGACACTGTCTCAAAATAAATTAAATAATAAATAAATAGTGTGCTGAGTCAATTGCTCCCTCTCCACACCTGTCCCGTCTTATTCTTCCTGAGTGTGGTAGATGAGAGTTGTGGATAGATGAAAGGAGAGGATGGCGACAGGCAGCAGCCCTGGAATTCCACCCTCCCCTGCAGGGAAGGATAATGGGACTGCCTTGCCCTATGGTGTGCACAGAATTGGAGTCCCACTAGTGGTAGCCTGGGACCCGGGAGAGGCAGGTGTGTGGGGAGCTGCGCTGACTGCCCACTGCGTCCACTAGATGGCGTGCTGGCTGCACAGGTGAGCACGTAGCACCTTTCCTGGATGAGCACAGCTTTTGGGTATTACCTGGCAGTATAGACAGCACCTGTTAGTTGATCCCTGCACCAGGCCTGCTGCATAGACAAGGAGACTGAGGCAGGAACAGGTGAAATGACTCAACTGTTATTTTTTTTTTTTTGAGACAGTCTTACTCTGTTGCCCAGGCTAGGGTACAGTAAGTAGCACAATCACAGCTCACCACGGACTCAACCTCCTGGGCTCAAGCAATCCTCCCACCTTGGCCTCTCAAATAGGTGGGATCACAGGTGTGCACCATCATATCCAACTTTTTTTTTTGAGACGAAGTCTAACTCTGTTGCCCAGGCTGGAGTGCAGTGGCACGATCTCAGCTCATGACAACCTCTGCTCCCAGGTTCAGGTGATTCTCCTGCCTCAGCCTCCCGAGTAGCTGGGATTATAGGCACGTGCCACCACACCCGGCTAATTTTTGTATTTTTAGTAGAGATGGGGTTTCACCATGTTGGTCTTGAACTCCTGACTTCAGGTAATCCACCTGCCTCGGCCTCCCAAAGTGCTGGGATTACAGGCGTGAGGCACCGTGCCTGGCCTAAGCACTTTCTCTTTTTTAAAAAAACAGTTGCTCAGGCTGGTGCAGTGGCATGATCCCAGCTCACTGCAACCTCTGTCTCCTGGTTTGAGTGATTCTCGTGCCTCAGTCTCCCAAGTAGCTGGGATTACAGGCGTGCATTCCCCGGCTAATTTTTGTATTTTTAGTAGAGACGAGGTTTCACCATTTTGGCCAGGCTGGTCTTGAACTCCTGGCCTCAAGTGAACCACCCACCTCGGCCTCCCAAATTGGATCACTTGTTTCTGATCTGTTTTAGAGGTACCTTTGAAAGTCTGGTGGAAGTTACAAGACCCCTTCTTAAACGTTTTTTTGAGGCTGGGTGCCGTGGCTCACGCCTGTAACTGCAGCACTTTGGAAGGTCAAGGTGGGCGGATCACCTGAGATCAGGAGTTTTAGACCAGCCTGACCAACATGGTGAAACCCTGTCTCTACTAAAAATACAAAATTAGCCGGACATGGTGGTGCGTGCCTGTAATCCCAGCTATTTGGGAGGCTGAGGCAGGAGAATCGCTTAAACCTGAAAGGTGGAGGTTGTGGAGCTGAGATAGTGCCATTGCACTCCAGCTTAGGCAACAAAAGCGAAACTCTGTCTCAAAAAAAAAAAAAAAAAAAAAAAAAAACCCAAATTTTTTTGAAACCAATTTCATGGGCTTCAAGTACACCACAGGAATAGATTAAGAACATTTGGTCCTACGCATTTGCAGTGTATGTTTAATTTGGGGTTTGGCCAGAGGCAGTGGCTCGGGCCTTTAATCCCAGCACTTTGGGAAGCTGAGGTGGTAGAATCACTTGAATGCAGGAGTTTGACAGCAGCCTGGGCAACATAGCAAGACCCCATCTCTAACGACAACAACAAAAACAACTCAAAAATTAGCTGGTGTGGTTGTGTTTGCCTGTAGTCCCAGCTACTCAGGAGGCTGAGAGGGGAGGATCCATTGAGCCCAAGAGGCCGAGGTTCCAGTGAGCCATGATCACACCACTACACTCCAGCCCGGGTGACAGAGTGAGACCTTGCCTCAAAAAGAAAAAAAAATGGGGGTTTATATCAGCTCTTAACTTTTGATTCCAGATGCGAATATAATGATGAAATCCAATTACTTACTAAAAAAAAAAGTTTTCTGAGCATCTACTATGTGCTAGACACTGTTCTAGGTGCTGGGGATACTTGTTTTGTGGAGTCTACCTTTCAGGGGGGAAGACAAGTAATAAAAATAGATGAATTAGAGTAGTTATTAGTGCTGTTCTCTGAATATTTTGAATTCTCCCCCTTCTGGGTACGTGGTAGGATTTTTTATTTTTCTTTATTTATTAGAATTTTTTTTTTTTTGGCTGGGCATGGTGGCTCAGCTCATGACTGTAATCCCAGCAATTTGGGAGGCCAAGGCGGGCGGGTCACTTGAGGTCAGGAGTTGGAGACCAGCCTGGTCAATATGGTGAAACCTTGTCTACTAAAAATACAAAAAAAAAAAAAAAATTAGCCAGGTGTGGTGGTGGGCGCCTGTAATCCCAGCTACGTGGGAGGGTGAGGCAGGAGAATTGCTTCTGTCGGGACTCCAAGTCCAAGCCTGGCCATCATAGCCTTGGTGACCTGCACATACACCTCCAGGTGGTCTCCAGGAGCCAGAAAGTCTGAAATAACTGGATGGCCATAGAGAGAAGTGAAACAACTTGCTCCTGCCTCAACTGATTGCTCTCCCCCTGCGACATTCGGCCACTGTTCCAGCTCAGCCTTGCAAAATTTCCTCCCTAGATATTAGGTTTCTCAAAACCCCCACCTGGTAACTATGTAATTTACCGCAGCCTCCCCCTGCTTGCAACCGATAACCCCCACCCTTATGACCATGCCTGTTTGTAATAGATAACCCCTACCCTTGTGATCATGCAGCCTGCGAAGCCCTTCCCCTCCCCAAGATAGATTACCACCTTTAACTGACCACTTGCCCATTGGTATATAACCAATACCCTTTCCTACTTTCCTTGCCTAACTCCTTTCTCAGACTTGGCTTGATTGCACCCGGGCACGAAATAAAACGACCTCGTTTGCCCACATACCTGCCTGGTGATCTCTTTAGGCGAGTGATGTGCTTAACAGCTTGAACCTGGGAAGCGGAGGTTGCACTGAGCCAAGATCGCACCATTGAACTCCAGCCTGGGCGTCGCAGCAAGACTTCATCTCAAAACAAAACAAACGAAAAAAACAATTTTTTAAAAACAATTTTAGTAGAGGTGAGGCCTTGCTATGTTGCTCAGGCTAGCCTTGAATTCCCGAGCCCAAGCAATCCAACTACCTTGGCCTCCCAAAGTTCTGGGATTACAGGTGTGAGCCACCAAGCCCAGCCACGATGCGATTTTACTTCCTGCTTCCCTTCCGGTTAGCTGAAATCATGTGATCAGTTCTGGCCAATGAATTGTGAGGAGTGACGCGATACTTCCAGGCAGAGTGTTTGATTGCTGGCATGAGGCCCCACAGAGCTTCCCCTCTACCCCATACATGAATACTGGAAATATTCAAAATGAAACCTGTTTGATTAGCTTAGGTCCCTGAGTCATGTAGCATGAGTGAGAAAAAAACATTTTTTTACATCACTGAGATTTTGGGGGTTTGCTGTGTATGTTATGGCAGTATAACCTGGCCTGTTCTAATACAATAATAGTAATATCATAGAATTATATAGATTGCTAGAAGGAGGTTAGAGCAATGGAGAAAAAATGTTCAGCAGTATCAGTGGTATTGCTGGGGGCCAGGTGTGGTGGCTCATGCCTGTAATTCCAGCACTTTGGGAGGCTGAGGCAGGAGGATTTCTTGTGCCCAGGAATTCAAGACTGGCCTGAACATAGTGAGGCCCCATCTCTACCAACCCCAAAAATAACCAGGCATGGTGGTGTGCACCTGTGGTCCCAGCTACTTAGGAGTCTGAGGTAGGAGGATGGCTTGATCAGGAAGGTTGAGGCTACAGCGAGCTGGAGCCACTACACTGCAGCCTGGGCAACAGAGCAAGACCCTGTATCAAAAAAAATAAACAAATAAAAGAAAAGAAGGGCAGGAAGATGGAATGTTGAGGATGTGATTAAGGTAGGCTTCCTTGAGAAAGTGATATTTGAAAAGGAAGTAAACAGGAGGCTGAGGTGGACAGATCACCTGAGGTTCAGAGTTCAAGACAAGCCTGACCAACATGGAGAAATGCTGTCTCTACTAAAAATACAAAAAATCAGCTGGGTGTGGTAGTGCATGCCTATAATCCCAGCTATTTGGGAGACTGAGGCAGGAGAATTGCTTAAACCTGAGAGGTGGAGGTTGCAGTGAGCCAAGATCGCCCCATTGCACTCCAGCCTGGACAACAAGAGCAAAACTCCATCTCAAAAAAAAAAAAAGGGAAGAAGAAAAGGAAGTAAGGTGCACAGGTACCTGGCATGAAGGGTGTTACAGGCAGGAGAGCAGCCAGGGATACACCAAAGGTTGGAGGTGTGTCTGATGTATTCCAGGAAGGTCGAGGCGGTGGTGGGTGAGCCAAGTGAGAATTGAAGTTAGAGAAGGGGGCCAGGTCACGTGGAGCCTCATGGCCACAGAAGGTCCTCACCAAGTTTTTGGCGTGAACTTGGGAGCCACAGTAGGGACTGAAACCCAAACATGACATGACGTGATTCATGTTTGCAAAGGATCACTCTGGCATCTGGGTTGAGGCTAGACAGCATATAAGGGTAGGGGCAGGATGGAAGGACGGACAACAGCAGAGGTGGGGACAAGTGTCTAGGTGGACAAATCCTGTATTATTTTTTTGAGATAGAACCTCACTCTGTCACTCAGGCTGGAGTGCAATGTCTGCCTCCTGGGTTCAAGCAATTCTCCTGCCTCAGCCTCCCAAGTAGCTGGGATTACAGGTGTGTGCCACCACACCTCGCTAATTTTGTATTTTTAGTAGAGATAGGGTTTCACCATGTTGGTCAGGCTGGTCTTGAACTCCTGACCTCGTGATCTGCCCACCTCCGCCTCCCAAAGTACTGGGATTACAGGTGTGAGCCACTGTGCCTGGCCAGATCCTATTTTGCTATGTTTAATTAATTAATTAATTAATTAATTTTTGAGGCAGGGTCTCTGTCATTCAGGCTGGAGTGCAGGGGTGCAATCACAGCTCACTTCAGCCTCAACCTCCTGGGCTCAAGTGAGCCTCTCACTTCAGCCTCCCCAATAGCTGGGACCACAGGCACATGCCACCATGCCTGGCTAATTTTTTTTCTTTTCTTTTCTTTTTTTTTTTTTGAGATGGAGTCTCACTCTGTTGCTCTGGCTGGAGTGCAGTGGCATGACCTTAGCTCACTGCAACTTCTGCCTCCCGGGTTCAAGTGATTCTCCTGCCTCAGCCTCCCAAGTAGCTGGGACTAGAGACGCATGCCACCACGCCTGGCTAATTTTTTTGGTATTTTTAGTAGAGGCAAGTTTTCGCCATGTTAGCCAGGATGGTCTCAATCTCCTGACCTCATGATCAGCCTGCCTCAGCCTCCCAAAGTGCTGGGATTACAGGCGTGAGCCACTATACCTGGCCTGTCTGGCTAATTTCTAAACTTTTTTTGTAGAGATGATGGGGGGGTCTCACTATGTTGTCCGGGCTGGTCTCAAACTCTTGGCCTCAAGGGATCCTCCCGCCTCAGCCTCCCAAAGCACTGAACTTACAGGCTTCAGCCACCACACCTGGCCTTGCAATTTTAAGATAGAACCAATACTATTTTTGATAGATGAAGGGTGGGAGAGATTCAAGGCTTTTTGCCCCATCCTTCCAAGAAGGATGGAACTGCCATCAACTGAAGCGTGGGGGAGGTTGCAGATGGAGTGGGTTTCGTGGAGGAAGATCAGGAGTTGGTTTTGGCCGTGTTGAGTTTAAAATGTCTATTGGACCCCAAGTGGAGGCATGTGGGTGGCTGTTGGATATATGAGTCTGGAGTCGGGAGCATATAAATTTGGGAGTTGTTGATGGAAAGATGGTATCAACAGTTTAATGTCTTAAAACACTCTTCTCTATAAGCCAGGAACAGAAAGTTAAACACCGCATGTTCTCACTCATATGGGAAAGCTAAAAAAAGTTGGTCTCGTAGAAGTAGAAAGTAGAAGAGAGAATCCTCGAGTCTGGGAAGGGTAGGGGGAAGAGAGACATTTGTTAAAGGATACATAATTACAGCTAGATGGGAGGAATAAGTTCTAGTGTTTCGTACCAGTGTAGGATGACTGTAATTCACAATAAGATATAGTTCCAAATAGCTAGGAGGAGGATACTGAACCTTCCCAACATAAGGAAATGGTACACGTTTCAGATGAGGGATTTGCTAATTACCCTGAGAACAGCTTGGGCAACATAGCAAGACCTCAACTCTACAAAAAATTTAAAAAATTAGCTGGACTACCTGGCATGTACCTGTGGTCCCAGCTACTTGGGAGGCTGAGGTGGGAGGATTGCTTGAGCCCAGGAGGTGGAGGCTGCTGTGAGCCATGATTGAGACTCTGAACTCTGATTGCTTGCTATACATTCTATCTATCACAATGTCACTGTGTGACACAGGAATATGTACAGATATTGACATTTAAAGATGGTTAGGCCAGGTGCAGTGGCTCATGCCTGTAATCCTAGCACTTTGGGAGGCCAAGGTGGGAGGATCGCTGGAGTCCAGAAGTTTGAGACCAGCCTGGATAACATAGAGACACCTTATCTATCTATATATAAATTTAAAAATTAGCCAAGTGTGGTTGCCTGTGCCTTTAGTCCCAGCCATTTGGGAAGCTAAGGCGAGAGGATCCTTTGAGTCCAGGAGTTCAAGGCTGCAATGAGCTATGATTGTGCCACTGACTGCACACCAGTCTGGGTGACAGAATAAGACTCTGTCTCTTAAAAAAAAAAGGTTAAAAAGACAAATAAGCGGGGAGTGATGGCTCATGCCTGTAATCCTTGTACTTTGAGAGGCCAAGACAGGAGGATTGCTTGAACACAGGAGTTGGGGATCAGCCTGGGCCACAGAGCAAAACCCTGTCTCTACAAAAAATACAAAAATTAGCCAGATGGGGCTGGATGGAGTGGCTCATGCCTGTAATCCCAGCACTTTGGGAGGCCGAGGTGGGTGGATCACGAGGTCAGGAGATCGAGACCATCCTGGTCAACATGGTGAAACCCTGTCTCTACTAAAAGTACAAAAATTAGCTGGGCATGGTGGCACACACCTGTGGTCCCAGCTACTTGGGAGGCTGAGGCAGGAGAATTGCTTGAACTTGGGAGGCGGAGGTTGCAGTGAGCCGAGATTGCGCCATTGCACTCCAGCCTGGGCAACAAGAGCAAAACTCCGTCTCAAAAAATAAAAAATAAAAAAAATAAAAAAATAGCCAGATGGGGCCAGATGGAGTGGCTCATCCCTGTAATCCCAGCACTTTGGGAGGTCAAGGTGGGAGGATCACTTGAGGTCGGGAGTTCGAGACCAGCCTGACCAATATGGAGAAACCGTGTCTCTACTAAAAATGCAAAATTAGCTAGGCGTGGTGGCACATGTCTGTAATCCCAGCTATTTGGGAGACTGAGGCAGGAGAATTGCCTGAACCCAGGAGGTGGAGGTTGAAGTGAGTAGAGATCATGCCATTACACTCCAGCATAGGCAACAAGAGCAAAACTCTGTCCAGAAAAAACAAAAATTAGCCAGAGGTGGTGGTGTGTGCCTGTAGTCCCAGCTACTCGTAGGGGCTGAGGTGGGAGACGACTTGGAGGTTGAGACTGCAGTGAGCCTTGATTTTGTCACTGTATCCCAGCCTTGGCAACAAAGCAAGACCCTGTCTCAAAATAAATAAATAGAATAACATAAAATTTAAAAACCTGGCCGGGCATAGTGGCTTATGTCTAATCCCAGCACTTTGGGAGGCTGAGGTAGGTGGATCATCTAAGGTCAGGAGTTCGAGATCTGCTTGGCTAAGTGGTGAAACCCCAACTCTACTAAAAATACAAAAATTAGCCAGGTGTGGTGGTGAGCACCTGCATCCCAGCTACTCGGGAGGCTGAGGCAGGAGAATTGCTTGAACCTGGGAGATGGAGGTTGCAGTGAGCCAAGATCACCCCACTGCACTCCAGCCTGGGCGACAAGAGCAAAACTCTGTCTCAAAAAAACAAAACAAAACAAAAACCCCATTGTTCTCTTCATAAACTTTTTTTGAGATGGAGTCTCGCTCTGTCGCCAGCCTTTCAAAGTGCCGGGAGAACAGGCGTGAGCCACCGCCCCTGGCCTGAAACTCAGCTCGTAAGCACTTGGGTCTGGAGTGTTTGTGTTTGTTTCCTTTTCCCTTACTTCGACATCTTACTTTCATCTCCCAGTTTTTGTTTTTTCATTTGTACTTTATCATATGTATT